AATTGCAGGGTCATGGTAGCTTCTTAGCATGTAGATGCCAGACCTAACCTTGCGCCTCCCCTTCCCTCCCGGCAGGTTAGATTTTGTTTTGGTTTTGGGGCTTCAATGCTTGGAGACTAGGGCTACTTCTACCCAGCTGGGCAGGCAGCCATTCTGCACAGCTTCGTTCGCTTTCGCAAAAGAAGCAGGTAAGTAAACACAAACTATACAAGTTAAACCCTAAATCTTAAACCCTAAACCCTACACCCTAAGTACAGTGAGAAAACAAGACGTCAATGTGGACCCGCGTTCGAGGGCTGAGTGATTGAGGGGTTAGGCTTTAGGGTTCAGGGTTGGAGGTTTAGGGTTTAGGGTTTAGGAATTAGGGTTTAGGGTTTAGCGTTTCGGAATGGCTTGGGCATGACTGGCCTCAGCCACTACGAAGTCCTCGCGGTGCCATGCACCGCCACGCTGGCTGACATTCGCCTGGCCTTCAAGCAGCAGGCAAGGCAATAAGGGTTTAGCGTTTAGGGCTTAGGGAGCGTGGTTCCTTTTACACCTTTTGGGATATTAAATTCTCTATAGAACTGAAAGTGTACACTTTTGGGGGGCTTGAGAACTCAGCAACTAGGTATGTTGAGGCCCTGTGCAGGTGCCTGTAAGCCCTCAGAATCGTCGACCCTGGTTTTCACCTGCTGTTTGAGGCCTGTTGGTCCAAACACATCGAGGAGTCCGGCAACCAACCCTGTTTTTCTAAATCGTATAACCCAGGTGTGCACCCGGAGTTTGAGGCCTTTTGCTTCAGACATGCCAAGAATCAACAGGGTCCGAGTCCGGGTACCTTGTTGGGGATGAGGCCCCAGAGCTCCAAACGTCACAGGGTCCTTAATGGATGCGCTCGACATGCAACCCAGTTCTCTCTAGATTCGCTCGTGTTCCTCAGGATTCCTAGCTACCTTCAGAATCCTAAAACAAGGTAACGTTGGGTTTAGGGTTTGTGTATGTAGGCCTCTTTTTGGAGAGGGTAAATTTAGGAGGATACTAGCATTTCTTAACCGTACTTGATGTCGGTGCAGGAATTTCGATCCGTTTGTGCCTACACCCTACACCCTTTATAAACCCTAAATCCCTAGCCCTAAACTTAAACCCCGAATCCCACACCCTAAATCCCTAAACCCCGAATCCCAAGCCCTAAAACCCCAAGTCCCTAAGCCGAAAAAACTCAAGTCCCTAAACCCTAAACCCTACACCCAAGAAACCCCAAACCCAAACCCAAGAAACCCGAAACCCTAAGTGTTCTGCAGGCGCTGCTGCACCACCCTGACAAGAAAGGCGGCACCAAGGCGCGACTTAAGTCAGGGCCTTTAGGGTTTAGGGTTTTGTGTTTTTGGGGTTTGTAGTAGGGTGTATGGGGATTACACAGGGTTCACAAGGGAGTAAGGGTTTATGTAGCACATGAATGAGTACACTTTACACTTTTTCGGGATGACGCTCCAACGGCGTCGAGGATCGCAATCCTCTACTTACGCGCCATCGCTGCCGAATTCCCGGAGTGGCCGCTTGCGTCGGCTGATGTCAGAGCAGCCTTCCCAAAGGGCGACGAGTACATGGCCGGTTCTTGTACACTCTATATGGCCCGGCCGGACCGACGCAAAGGCCCTACGTTGCCCGGGAGTGCCCTTTGGAGCAATCTTCAGGGTGCTCAAAGGAATTTTGGGCTTGGCAGATGCTCCTCGACAGTGGTATCTCCGACTGGTAAGAACTCTCACACTTTGTTTTGGTGCTAATTAACTCAGCAATAAGTTTAGGTCTAGGATGCCCAGTAGTACCCTTTTTCCCTTTCTGCGGGGGTTTCGGTTCCCTTCTAAACCAGCTTAAGCAAAAAAACATTTTGTATGCTGGGTTACTGGTCAACCTAGAGGTGGGGGACTAGGGGGCTTGAGTGTCTGAGGGTGTTGTCATACAAGGGTGCAGGCCACTGGGCTTAGGGTTCAGAAGTTCAGGGTTCGGGTTTAGGGTTTAGGGCGCTCCCCAAAGCACCAAAAGAGATTCGGTTTGAATCACTCACTGGTAAACTGGTAAAGACATCAGACACAAGAGAACCCTAAGCCCCAAACCCCGAACCCAAGAATCCTCAACCCTTAAACCCTAACCCCTAGCACCAGGAGAAGGCCGCTACACCTTTGGTGTGTGTTTTAGGGGTTCCCCAAACTTGGGGGGGGCTCGAGCTTTAGGGGTTTAGGGGCGTGAGGGGTTTAGGGGTTTAGGGGTTTGGTGGTTTAGGGGTTCTTGAAGTCACTACCTGGACACTTAATTGAAAATCTCGTTCGGGTGTGACAGGGCCATAGTGTGGTTGACTGCATCGTGCTTACCATGAGTTTAGGGACGTCGGATAAGGAACTACGTACAAGTAAGTATTAAGGCTCCCGAGTCCGAACTGGTGCTTACCCTCAACCCTTTAACCCGAATCCCTAAATCCTAAACCCTAAACCCTAAACCCAGCACAGACACGCGAGAAAAATGAAGCCTCGTCTTTACAGGTTCTTGGAGGGGAGACCCAGGCCCGAAACCCAAGACCCTTGCTGGTCTTAGTAAGAAATCGGAATTTAGGGTTTTAGGGTTTAGGGTTTAGGGTTTAGGGTTAGGGTTTAGGGTTTAGGGTTTATGAAATTTGGACCCTTGTAAGACCTAAACCCCTACACCCTGAGCCCTGAATCCCGAGACCTCCGATCCGATATGGGGGTTTACGAAAATCAAGGACGCTCCCAGGGTTTAGGGTTTAGGGTTTAGGGTTTAGGGTTTAGGGTTTAGGGTTTAGGGTTTAGGGTTTAGGGTTTCGGGAATATAGACCCCCAAAACGGTAGGATTCCCTTGAATTCGGACCCCAAGAGGGTACCCCGAATCTCAGAAACCCCAAATGAGGGAATGAAGTGCCTGATGTCCCCCCCTACCCTAAAACCTTTCAGGGTTTCTAGAAGGCACCTCACTCCCTCATTTTGTACTCAGAACCAGCAGCCATAGTTCGGTCTTTTTCTTGAGGGTCGGCGCGCAAGCATGTCAGGAGCGCTTCCATGCCGTCTACCAGGCCCTCCGGGCTACATCTTGGGATGTTCCCCCTTATACTGCTTGGTAGCGGTACCCTTTACCCATTTTTTGTTATGTTTTCCCCTTTACAGTAACCAACCCCAAAAAGGGTGCCCTTATCAAAATATGGTTACTGGGCTACCAAGACTAACCGTCCCCGATTATAATCCCCATTAAGGACTGTTGGTACAAGGAGGAGCATCCCAAGTTTCATCCCCTATTTTGAGCTCAAGAGATCTTATAGGAATTCCCTACATTGGTCTCGGGATTCTGTTCCTTTAGGGTTTAGAGGACTTAGGGTATGTTTGTTGTCCTTTCTGTTGCTTAGGGTGAAAATAGATGACTGGTGCAGCTGACGTTGGGGAGCACTGTAGAAGCCTGCGCGTGTAAACCCTGGATCCTGGAACTCCGCCCAAAACATCACTCTAAACGATCAGGGTTTGTACAGGGCTTGGGGTTTAGGGCTCAAGGTTGCTCATAGGGCTGGGCAAGGCTGGGTTGTGTCGCAGGCAACAGCCACTTCCTTCGATATGTGTCTGAAAACTTTGCAAAAGGCGGCAGGACGCTGGGATGTTCATATCCCTTTTTCTTCGGCGTGTAAGAGGACCCTAACCCGAAACCCCAAACCCCTGCAAAGCCTATAAAACCTACAAAACCTATAACACCTATAAACCCCATACAACATATAAAACCTCTAAAACCTTTAAAACCTATAAAGCCTTTAATCCCCAAACCCAGCGCCTCCGTAACTGACGCGGGAAGGCGTTCGAGGTCCTCTCCGACGGCCACCTCCGGCGCCGATACGACACGTGGCTGGAGGGCGGAGACGTTCTTGCAGGCGGTTTAGGGTTTAGGGTTTAGGGTTTAGGGTTTAGGGTGCAGGGTGTAGGGTGTAGGGTTTAGGGTCAGGGTCCAGGGTTTGTAAAAAAAATAGGGCTTATGTTGGGTTTTGGGTTTGTATAGGGTTCATAGGGTTCATCATGGGGCGTAGAGGGTTCATAACAGGGTTTATAGGGTTTATACAAGGTTTTTACTGGGTTTAGGGTTTGTAGGGTTTTTTGGGTTTAGGGTTTAGCAATGAAGTAGGGGTTATTTATGGTGTTGAGTTTAGGGTTTGGTAGTTAAAAAAGGCTTTATACAGGGCTTATATAGGGTTTATATCGGGTTTATATAGGGTTTTTGGTTTTGCTGTTTTTCGCCTTTGCCCCCAACAAATGCTCAAGGATATTAAAGGAAAGTGCCACAACCCCTACACGGAACCAGACACCCATGTACCCAGTGACGTAGATGCTTTTGGTAGTGCAGAGTTCATAGGGGAGGGGCCTCCTTACTGTACTAACTGTAGTTAAGGGACTTTTGAATTATAACTCAGATAGGATCCTTATACCCCAATTTAGGGTCCTTATAACCCTACTTACAACTAGGGGGGGCCCATTGTTTGAGGGATCTGGAAGTCTGCAAAGGGAAGGTTCGTCGTCTCCGGACCCTAAACCCTCAACCCTAAACCCTAAACCCTAAACCCTATAAACCCTAACCCTAAATTGCAAGTCTCCGGTCCAAGTAGACCCTGCACCTGTCGGAAGCTCCTTGCCCAAGACCCCAGCTTTTAACTTAGGGTTTATAGGGTTTAGGGTTTAGGATATAGGGTTTAGGGTTTAGGATTTAGAGTTTAGGGTTTAGGGTATAGGGTTTAATCACTTTGTAGAGAATAGTTTGTCCCCCCAAGTAAGGTACTGTACAGGCCTTTTGGTGTTCATTATAATAGCCAGAGTGACATGGGGGTCACAGGGTTTAGGGTTTATAGGGTTTAGGACTTACCTGTGGCTCTATTTACCTACAGTTTAGTAGTAACGTTCCCTAGATAGTAGGTATAACCCTAAACCCTAATCGTAAAACTGTGTAGCTAAAGAGGGTCACTGGTAGGGTTTAGTGGTCAGGTGCTGGCAAGCCTGCACGCCCCGCGCCGAAGCGGCGGAGAGCCGAGAAAGAGAAGAAGGCACAGTCAAGTTGCTGAGGAGTCCAGGGGTTTAGGGTTTAGGGTTTAGGGTTTAGGGTGTAGAATTTAGGGTGTAGGGTTTAGGGTTTAGGGTGACGGTCTAGGAGCCGCTCGGCCACCACATTATATTCCTATAGCGACTTGAGAACGGGGTGCACAGGGGCCTCAAACCCTAGACCCTAAACCCCAAATTCTGATCAACACCCCAAATCCTAGACCACATGCCACAGACCCCAAACCCTGCACCCTTAACCCCCTTGGGCTCAGGTGGTTCAGCTCAAAGTAGCTCGACAGAGCGTTTAATTTGTTACTTTGACTCATTGCAGTACACAGGCAAGTGATAGGCCTGCAGCACCAGACTGTCAGATTCACGGTTTTCATGCTCTGCCACGATCAACCGATGATCAACCTCAGAAGTCAAAGCGTGAAGAGCCATGTAGTGTACTCCTGACGGGGTTTAGGGCTTAGGGTTTAGGGTTTAGGGTTTAGAGTTTAGAGTTTAGGGTTCAGGGTTTAGGGTTCAGGGTTCAGGGTTCAGGGTTGAGGGTTTAGGGCTGAGGGTTTAGGGGAATCATGCCGCGGCAGAAGCTTCCAAGGCCGGAGAAGGCTCAGACGGATTCACACCGAGCCAGAGCGAGGCACCTCCATTCCTCCGGCCTTAGCCGAAGAAGATCGACCTGAAGTCCTAAACCCTAAACCCTAAACCCTGAAGTCCTTGGCAACGCTCCGTTCGTGGGACAACGAGGGCACCCCATGCCAGGAGGCCCCATCCCGCCACCAGAACTCCCTAACCCGCGCATCGGCGAAAGCCGAAGCAGACGTGGATGCGATGTAACCCTAAACCCTGAACGCTGAACCCTAAGCCCCCCCCCCCCCCCAAAAAAAAGACAAAAATAGAAAAAAAGCCCCCCACCCCGAAAAAAAGAGAGTAAATGATGAATAAAGAATTTGAATAAATAATCACAATAAAAGCAAATTTAGAAAAATGCTCGTGCCACCATCTTATAATCTTGCTATACTCATTGTATGGTTAAGGGGCTTGAAGCCCAAGACTTGTGACGCAATTGGAGTGCATCGGGGCCTTCGCTGATAAACACCCTTAATCATAGACCATAGACCCTGTGTAAACCCTAAACCTTACACACTAAACCTTAAACCCTCAACACTCAGCCCGAAAAGCAAAAAGCCCTAAACCCCAAACCCTAAACCCTAAACCCTAAACCCAAAACCCTAAACCCCAAACCCTAAACCCCAAACCCTAAACCCTAAACCCTAAACCCGAACCCTAACTAACCCCTAAGCCTTAAACCCCATCCTGGTAAGCCCCAATGAGTGCGCAAGTGGGGCCACACATGCAGGTCTCCAGACAGAGCTTTGGAACCTTGGGCCGAGCTAGGGTTCGGGTTTAGGTTTAGGGTTTGGGGTTTAGGGTTTAGGGTTTAGGGTTTAGGGTTTAGGGTTTAGGGCTAGGGTTTAGGGCTAGGGTTTAGGGTTTTTCGTCGCCAGGCTTCTGGCCCAAGGCCGCAGGCCGCCAAGGCCAAGAAGTGCGCCAAGGCGGCGCCCAAGCGATTCTTGGTAATCATGAGCTTTCTCGGGTTTAGGGTTTAGGGTTTAAGGTTTAGGGTTTAGGGTTTAGGGCTTGGGGATTTGGGGTTTGGGGTTTAGGGTTTGGGGTTTAGGGAGCTTCGGTTTGGGGTTTTTGGAGCTCAGGGAGCTTAGGGTTTTGGGTTTAGGGTTGAGCGGTTTGGGGTTAGTTTAGGGTTTGGGGGTTTAGGGTTTAGGGGTTTTTGAGGGGTTGGGGGGGTTTAGGATTGTTGGGTTTAGGAGCTTCGGGGCTCAGGATTTGCAGGGGCATCTAGTTGCGGAGTGACCTGTGATATATGCATTGTGGCTCAGGCTAGAATAAGCCCTAATTAAACCCTAAACTCTAATTGAGCCCTAAACCCGAATCTACAGTGGGGGGGGGGGAGGTTGTCCCTGTAGTCCTTGTAGGGCTTAAGGGGACGCCCATGAACCCTACGGTATATCTTCGACCTTTTGTTATGGGGTTTGTGGTTTAGGGCTTGGGTTTAGGTTTTTGGGTGTAGAGTTTAGGGCAGTTTGGGGTTTAAGGTTTACACAGGTTTAGGGTGGGTCCCCCTTTCGTATGCTGTTTAAAGCCCCAAGTATGACGAAATCCTCCTGAAAAGGACCATAAAAAGGAACACACAAGTGATTTTTCCGATTTTTCCAACTATGCTCTGCATACGGAGTCCCAGCCCTACAGCGCTCAACCCAGGGGTCTGTTTAAGACATTTCGGCCTATACGCCTCGTCGTTCGAGTACCTGAGTACCCCCCCCAGAATGTGCCCCTAACCCGAACCCTAAACCCTGAACCCTAAACCCTAAATCCAACTTCCTAGTTCCTAAACCCTGAACCCTAAACCCGAAACCCGAAACCCTAAACCCTAAACCCTAAACCCCACGCCCAATCGAAAAACCAAAGTCCGAGGACGGCCGAAGCCTGGGCCAGAGCCCAGGCGCAAGGCGGAGCCCCGGTGTGAGGCAAGACCTGGCAAGGCGCGCCCCGCTTTGTGGATTGTTTGGGATGTTGGGTTTGGGATTTAGGGTTTAGGGTTTAGGGTTTAGGGTTTAGGGTTTAGGGTTTAGGGTTTAGGAAGTTGGGTTTAGGGATGAGTGCCCCTGGGCAAGTCCCCATTGCCACAACCCCCTAAAGGAAGAACATCTTCTCTCTATAATATAGCAATTTAAACCTTGAGGAATTCGTGTTTCAAGGCAGTTTTTTCGTGGTTCAAGGCAATTTTTCGTGGTTCAAGGCAATGTGTTCGTGGTTCAAGGCCTGTTTCAAGGCACTTTTTCGTGGTTCAAGGCAATCTTTTCGTGGTTCAAGGCAATTTTTTCGTGGTTCCAGGCTTCAAGGCCTGGGGTTTAGGGTTTCAGGGCATCAGGCCTAGCGTTTAGGGTACCAGGGCCTCAAGGCCTGGAATTTAGGGTTTCTGGGCCTCAAGGCCTGGGGTTTTGGGTTTAGGGTTTCAGGGCCTCAAGGCCTGGAATTAAGGGTTTCTGGGCCTCAAGGCTGAGGGTTTCAGGGTCTCAAGGCCTGCAGTTTAAGGTTTCAGGGCCTCATGGCTTGCAGTTTAGGGTTTCGGGGCTTCAAGGCCTGGAGTTTAGGGTTTCAGGGCCTCGAGGCCTGGGGTTTAGGGCCTGGGGAGGCTAACACAGCGATGCAATGGCAAGAACATGAAGTTCATAATGTTAGGTGTTGTTGTTGTGTTCGTTTAGGCTTTTGAAGCTGAGATGGTTGGAGAATACTGGTATCTTCGTTTTCTCAATGTTATGGGATTCTCTGGGTGGGTGGGTGTTACATCAGAACCGGAAATATAACTTTACCAAAAACTGCTCGATCCGGAGCTGCTGAACCCTAAACCCTAAACCCTAAACCCTAAACCCCCGTTCCTTCTTCCCGACGTCCCAAAGCTCGCTGAGCCCTTAGCAGGTTTATAGGGCCTTCGCGCGGCCGCTGGCACTTGCAGAGCCCAGCTCTCCTTAGCCCTGTAAAACTTCCATGGGTTTAGGGTCTATAGGGTTTAGGGTTTAGGGTTGAGGGTTTTGGGATGTTTAGGGTTTAGGGTTTAGGGTTTAGGGTTTAGGGATGTTTAGGGTTTAGGGTTTAGGGTTTAGGGTTTAGCCCGTAAACCCGAGCCCAGAGAGGCCCTGGTGGCCGTGGCTCTGCCACCGGCCTCGACATCTGCGAGCCGCAGGAAGCATCTGCCTCCTGGCTGACGCATTGTTGGGATGTCGGCGGGTTTAGGGTTTAGGGTTTAGGGTTTAGGGTTTAGGGTCTAGGGATATTGGCAGTTAGGGCTTGGGGTTGGAAGTGTTCCCCTTAAACCCAAAACCCTAAACGACATTTGGCAGGCCGCACTTTGGCGGAGGGGGAGGGGGAGTTTACTGAGGATTTGTAGGGCTTCAAGCCCAAGCCACCAGCTCAGCTTGCGCGATAGCTCCTCGACGACGCATGCGGATGGCCGGCCATTGCTTTTCACGATTTTCCGTTTAAATCAACCATGGTTCTGAGAGCAGGAATGTCGGGTGGCGGGGGGGGGGGGGTGGGAACACCCCCCCACGACGCTTTTGGGTAGTCTAGGCTAAACAAGACTCAGGGTAGTCGCGGAGTTTCGGTCTTCCTAAACCCTAAGGCCTGTATAAACTTCAAACCCGAATCCCCAACCCCAAGCTGCATTCCCCAAGCCCCAAACCCTAAACCCTAAACCCCAAACCCTAAACCCTAAGCCCCAAACCCGAAACCCCAAACCCTAAACCCTAAACCGATGTCGGATCTCTGAACGCACCTCTCAGGCTTGAGCGCGCCCACCGTCTTCTCGGACTTCTCTCGCGAGAGCAGCGGCAGCGCGTGATTCGCGAGGACCAGTTTGGGGCTTAGAGGGGTTTATCCGGACGTGACCCAATGATCCCGCCATATTATATATATATATATACATATATATATGTATAATGTAAATACGTATATATATATATATATATATCTATCGATAGATAGATGGATAGATAGATAGATAGTGGGATGTAGGGTACCTACTTACGATATCTCGTTCCCTGCTAAGAAGTGAACCCTACACCCCAAACCCTAAAGCCCAGAACAAGAGCCTGTCTAGTTCCCCTGCGTACAGGAGCTCTCGCAGAAGCAGCGCTTGCTGCTGGAAGAGTGGCTGCTGGAGTTCATTACGTCCTGCTGGTAAGGTTCAGGGTTTAGGGTTTAGGGCTAGTGTTTAAGGTTTCGGGTTTACGGTTTCGGTCTTAGGGTTTTGGGTTTCGGGTTTTTGGGTTTAGGGCTTGGGGTTTAGGGTCGAACCCCTCCAAGGCCCCGACAAACAAGAACACCTTTACTCTCAAAGAGGCCTAACCCCCCCCCAACTACCCTAAACTCCCTGGTTCTTAGTTCTTAGTAGGAAATTTGAAATTTCTTGCAGCTGTTTTTTATAGGCTGATACAGGGTTTAATTGTAGGACAATGTAGGGTTTATAAGGTTTAACAGAGTCGAATAATGGGACTCTTTTGGGTTTATAGGGTTTGTAGGGTTTATAGAAAGTTTCATTATAGGACCATATAGGGTGTCTAGGGTTTATATAGGCTTGAATCGTAGGAGGATATAGGGTTATCTAGTGCGAAAAAGGATTTATGATTGGGCTTCGGGTCTAGGGTTTCTACTATTGAATGAGGGTTTAGGGTTTGGGCCCTTTAGGGTTTATTGGGTTTATTGGGTTTAGAGTTTAGGGTTTAGGGTTTAGGGTACACCCTAGAATTTCCACCACCATGCCGAGGATCGTGCAGCAGCCACGCAGCGAACTGCCGTCCTGCTCCCAGAGACCCGCAAGCCATACCTCATACTTGGGTAGCCCTAACCCCTAAGCCCTAAACCCCAAAACCCGAAGCCCTAAACCCTAAAACCCCTAAAGCCCTCAACACCCTCAAAGCCCTCAAAACCCTCAAAACCCTCAAACCCCTCAACGCTCAAAACACTCAAAACACTCAAAACCTCAAAACCCCTCAGCCCCTCAACCCGGGTACTTAGGAGCTCGCCTTCTTGTGTGCTTCGAGGTTTCATTTTGGATGCTCTGGACCCAGCCATGGAAGCAGGTCTGAAGCCTTTGCATAGGGTTTAGGGTTTTAGGGTTTTAGGGTTTTAGGGTTTAAGGGTTTAAGGGTTTAGGGTTTAGGGTTTTAGGGTTTAGGGTTTTAGGGTTTAGGCCTAAACAAATGGAAAGTTCTCTAAATTTCGGTCCCTGTCCGTGTAGCCCCCATCAAACCCTTCCCCCTTACACAAACAGTCCTTAATAGGGGTAAGCAACTGTTAGTATAAGGGGGAACATCCCAAGATAAACCCTAAGCAAACTGCAGTCCTACCCTGTTTCTTTGTTTTAAACCCTAAACCATAAACCCCAAACCCTAAATCCCAAAAACCTCAAACCATAAACCCTAAACCCTAAACCCTAAACCTTAAACCCTAAACCCTAAACCCTAAACCCTAAACCCTAAACCCTAAACCCTAAACCCTAAACCCCTTGAACCCTTTTCCGGTGCATGGACCCCCTTATAGAGCCACACGAGGCACCCCTTGCCGCCGAAGCGCCGGCGCCGGCCTGCAAGAAGGCAACCCCCCGGGCTAAAGGGAAGGGGGTTTAGGGTTTAGGGTTTAGGGCTTAGGGTTCTGGGAAAAGGGTTTAGGGCTCAGAGTTTAGGGTTTCAGCCTTTGGTTTAGGCCTTAGGGGGGTTCGTTTTTTTGTTTGTTTTTGTTTTTCTTGTCAAACAGGTTTAGGGTGCAGAGTTGGGGGCTGGAACCCAGACCCTGCACTCTAAGGCATTTACTGTATAGCTGGGCCCTTGTTCTTGCACTGTGAGAAGGCGTGGCTTTGGATGGTTCCGTCCCCCATTCGGTCGCTCATATTCTGTCGGACCCTGATGTAAGAAAAGAGACTGCGGCACGAGCGCGAAAACCCTACACCTTGAACCCTTCTCGGTGAGTGTTCTTCTTGAGCAGCACCAGCCTTCCCTGCCCTCTGCAAACCGTAGAATCCTACGCAATCCCCACGTGCAAAGCAAACCTTCCGTTGCCCTAGGAAGCGAGTACCCTAAACCCCAAACCCCAAACCCTAAACCCCAAACCCCAAACCCCAAAACCCGACCTGCAGTCAGTCCCCCCAACCTTTCTGCGCCAGCAAGTCAGGCGGAGGAGTCCCCCGAAGCCGGTGGTGCCAGTGGAGATTGAGGCAGTTTGAGGTTTAGGGTTTACGGCTTTGGGTTTAGGGTTTGGGGTTTAGGGTTAAGGGTTTAGGGTTTAGGGCTTCAAGACAGACAGCTAAGTCGCACCCTCATCCCATTAAACGCTAGACCGAACAGAGCAAGACAAGGCGAGATTTGAGGGGCGGTTTGGGGTTTAGGGTTTAAGCTCCTATAACCCACTGCCCCGCAGCACGCCCAGATGTGGGGGGGGGGGGGGGATTAGGTTGGGTTTAGGGTTTGGGGTTTGGGTTTTGTTTGGGGTTTGGGTGTTGGGGTTTGGGGTTTGGGGTTTGGGGTTTTGGGGTTTGGGGGGGGGGGGGGGGGGGGGGGGGGGGGGGGGGGGGGGGGGCAATTTTATCCTTACAAGGAAGGCACGTGCGGCCGCTATGGCGCTGCTCGGGGGGTGTTCCTCGACATCACCAAGGCCAGGGTGCTCTGTGCCGTATGTTTCAACCCCCAACACACCGACGAGACGACCGTCGCGAGCGACATTGCGGGATATTGCGGGGATAGTCGGAGCCAAATATATTATTTGGACCACTCAAAGAGCGTTGGACGATGAACGACTTGCCGAGCAAGGCACACGGCGATTGCCAGGTTTGTACGCAACTCTTGCACCGCAGATTACCTGGCAGTCTTCATCGGCGGGCTCGCCGAGACGAATGTCAACTTGAGTTTTTGCGAGCACGATGACGCCATGATTGGGGCGGCAGACTGATGATTGCAGCAGGCTTTAGGTTCCTGGGAGTCTGGGTTTGGGGGCTTTTAGGTCCTTCTGGCTAAGCCCTGAACCACTACAGCCCTGGTTCTGTCAGCAGGACTAGCTTGCTTCTTACTGACTGGCTCTTATGTCGTGGTGGGGTTTGTTTCGCCCGTCTCCCTCAATAGCAGGAGAGCCGGTGCTGGCCCAGGTTACAATATGGGTTCTTGGTTCAGGGGTTTAGTCCTAAGTTTTTGTTGCTTCCGAGGTTCTGGCCGGAGGTCTTAAAGTTCAGGGTTTTTAAGTGGTTGGGCATCACATTTTGGAGGTTTGGGATTTTAGGGTTGCAGGGTTTCAGGGTTTAAGGGTTTAAGGGTTTCAGGGATTGGGGTTTGGGGTAAACCCTAAACCCTAAACCCTAAACCCTAAACCCTAAACCCTAAACCCTAAACCCTAAACCCGGGTTGAGGGTTTAAGTGCACAGGCCTGCAGCTCCTCCAGTTCCGCGAGCTGCGCCCCGGCCCAGCATTCCAAGCTTGAGGTCCTCGGAGCCCTCTGAGCCCTGAAGCTTCGGGTTCAGGGTTTAGGGTTTAGGGTTTAGGGTTTAGGGTTTAGGGTTTAGGGTTGAGGGTTTAGGGTTTAGGGAAACTGCTCTAGATCCTGAGCCCTAAGGCCTAAGCCCTAAACCCTAAGCCCGCAGCCCTACACCCTAAACCCTAAACTTTGAAACAGGCCTAAACGCTAAGCTCTAAACCCTAAGCCCGGAGCTTTGAAGCCCAAGAAGCAGCTTGCGTGGCTTGAAAGATTGCTTCGTTTTTGTCCATTCAAGAGGATATGTATATGTTCTCATTCATATCATGTCATATCGTGTCGTACCATATCATATCATAGCACAGCATAGCATGTCATGTCATGTCATGTACATATACCTATACGTATACATATGGGTGGTTGTCAAAATTATGGTCCCTTTTTGGATCCCTATTATAATACGGCACCTACTATTTAGGGTACCCCAAAAGGGATCAGAATTTTGACAACCACCCATTTTTCTATATATATATACACATGCATATACATATTCAGGTGTGGCGTAATCCTACCTGGCGGAACATTCCTAAGGTGAGATTTGCAAACACTTACATCCCAGATCCTCAACTTTTAAAACACAACTCCTGGGCACTCAACCCTGAGACAACAAGAAAACTAGAGGTTGCCGAAATTGTCTGAAGGAGCGGATGCCAGCACCCCAAACGACCAAGGCTGGTGATGCAACAGAGAACCCCGCCAAAAAGTCCATCATCTAGACTTTGGTTGCCGTACCCTTCAACCTTTTTTTGGTTCAATGTTCCCATGTAAAAAGCAGCAACCCAAAAGAAATGGGGACCCTTTTTCTGATTATGAACCCTAAACCCTAGTCCCCACACCCTAAACCGTTTTTTTTTATGATGTTTTCCGGGCTACCAAGATACAGAGATCATGGGGCTTCGACTCAAGAGCCTGAAACAGCCCTAGCATAGGCAGGAATTCGGGTTTAGGCTCCAGGGTTTCGGGCTCATAGGGCTTGGGGTTCGGTGGGCTTGGGGTTTAGGGTTCAGGTCCAAGAATATCTCTCGCTCTCTCTCTCTCTCTCTCTCTCTCTCTCCCTGTCTTACATTCGTGTTTGGATGCAGGGTTTGTGGACTTTGCATTGCCTAGGAATCAGCAAAGGCAGAATAATTACCTGTGATCATTTTGCTTCCTGTGTTGTGCACACTAGCTAAGGTGAAAGCTGTTCCGATGAAGATGGCCCCTGCCTAGCCATCGAGGATGCGATGATGGAGGTCCCTCACGTCGCCCTTCCGGACACGATCCCTGAGTTTGTGCTAGGTCTTCCGAAGTTTTCCAAGGGCTCATTCGGGCCAATATAACAAGGGGCTATGAGGGCTTATGAAGGGTTCTAAGGGCTTATTAAGGGCTTGAGAGTCTCTGAGTTTCTAAGGGCTTAAGGGGTTATAAGGGCTTATCCGGGATTCTAAGGCCTTTGGGGAGTTCATCTCTAAACCCTAAACCCTAAACCCTAAACCGTATACAGCAAGGGACATCGGCTGAGCCGATTCGAAGGCTCCTCCGGCAACCTTCAACCATTTAGGGTTTAGGGTTTAGGGTTTAGGGTTTCGGGTTTAGGGTTTAGGGTTTAGGGTTTAGGGTTTAGGGTGTTGTCCAGGCTATGGTCCCTGCTGGGGTTTTATAGGGTTTACGGTTTGGGGTTTAGGGTTTAGGGCGGTAATTGTAAGAAATGTCCAAGGCATGAATCCTCCATAGAGACGAAAATAATGGCTGTAATTGTCCGAAGTCCAGATTTCCGTCAAAAAGATCGGAAGCTCTAAATATACCATGTCTGCCAGCCCTAAAGCCCTGATCCCAAAACCGCCCTAAGCCCCTAAACCCCAAGCCCTAGACGCCCTCAACCAATCATGCTAATCCCCCAACCCTACGCCCTAAACGCCTTAAACCAACCACCCAAGCCCCATACACCCCAAACCCTAAACGCTCTAAGCCAATCACACTAATCTACAACCCCCCCAAGCCCCACACAGCCCTGAACGAAATCCTCCAAGCAACCCTAAACCCTAAACGCCCTAAACCCTGAACCCTGAACCCTAAACCCTAAACCCTAACCCCTAAACCCGAAACCCTAAACGAAATCCTCTAAGCACGTCGGACATCGACAGGTGCCCGAGCCTGAGCCAAATGACGGCGCGCCACTTGGCTTCGCTAGCTATGGACCTGACCCAAGGGTTTAGGGCTTGGGGTTTAGGGTTTAGGGTTTCGGTTTTAGGGTGTAGGGTTTAGGGTTTAGGGTTTAGGGCTTGGTAGCCCGGTGGTACCCTTTACCTTTTCTTTTGGGTTACGGGTCCCCTTATAAAGTACTTGTAAAAGGGTGCCCTTTATTATAACATGGTTGCTGGGCTACCAGGAGGGCGTAGGGTTTAGAGTTTAGTCGTTCTGGACCTGACCTAGCCAAAGGGCTTTTTGGAACTTTTGGGGTGTATTTTGGGTTCAGGGATTAGATGGTTTTGGGGTGAACAAGGGTTTAGGGTGTAGGGGTTAGGGTGTAGATGGGCTTGGGGTTCAGGGTACGAGAATGTACTGTGTAGATATATATGGACTCCTTTCGGCTTTAAGGTTTTTGGGGGCAGGACTTGGAATTCTCTAAATCCACGAAATCATCTTCGGGGTGCTCAAACAATCGGATTATAAAGAGATTGGCATGCAAATCCTAAGCCCTGAAGCCCCAAGACCCCCGGAAGTCCTAAATCCTGGAACCCCAAAACCCTAGACCCTAAACCCTAACCCCTCGAACCCCGAAGCCCTAAACCCTGGACCCAAAACCCCAGAAACCCCCAAGCCCCTAAACCCTAAACCCCAAACCCCAAACCCTAAACCCTAAACCCTAAACCCTAAACTCAGGGCCTAGGCCGCCCCCCTACAGAGGGGGGGCGGCGCTTAAGCCCTTCGACCTCTATGGCGAAGCTCGACCCAGGTCGCTTGCCCGCCTCCTGCAGCCAGGAGGTCGGTAGCACCCACGATGGGCCCGGTACCGGAGCAGGTTCTCCCGGGGACCAGTACTGGTCCCCTTAATAAGGTAAATCCCCCTGCATAGGGCTGGCATTTCGGGGGGGGGTACCCCAAGGCCCCAGGCCAGGAGGACCCGGACCCCTCACCGCAGCATGTCCAGGGACCAGGGGGCCTCAGGCCAGGCCAGGCAGCGCGGGTGCTCAAAAACCTGCTTTTTTGGTTTTTCTGGGCCTCTTGAGCCTGGGGCCCCCCTGGGCCCCCCTGGGCCCCCCTTGGCCCCCCTGGGCCCCCCTGGGCCCCCCTGGGCCCCCCTGGGCCCCCTGGGCCCCCCTGCGGCCCCCTGCGCCCGCGCCCCCCCCTGGGCCCCCTGGGCCCCCCTGGCCCCCCCTGACCCCCCCTGGGCCCCCTCGTCTCCTGGGCCCCCCTGGGCCCTGGGCCCCCCTCCCTGGCCCCCCTGCACGCTTTTTGGGGTTTCTGTGGCCCCCTGACCCTCTGAGCCCCCCCCCTGCGCTTCTGCCGGCCCTCCCTAGCCTCACTGAGCCCCCTGACCCTTGCTTTTCCTCTGCTCCGCCCCTGGCTGCCCAGACTGACCCTGGCCTGGGCCCGTGGTTCTTTTCCCTTTGTGGAGGCTTGTTTTTTGTGAAAAGCCGTGACGGAATGAAGAAGTTTTATGTAAAGAAAGCAGTTGGCTTGAGTTTAGGCCTAAACCCTAAAAGGAATAGGTTTGGGTGGCTTTGCCGCCTTGGACGGCGTGGGGTGGGAGAAAAGTGTTAGATGGCCTTCCACAATCGGGCCAAAGCTGCTCTTCGCACCTCACGACGCTTTCGAGCTTGTTCCAAAACCTAACCTTCACAGCATCTGCGCCCTATCACAGCAAACCCTAAACCCTAAACCCTAAACCCTAAACCCTAAACCCTAAACCCTAAACCCTAAACCCTAAACCCTAAACCCTAAACCCTAAACCCAAGACACCCCAACACCCACCTCCCAGGCCAGGGCTGCTGGAGGCGCCGGCAGTGGCTCCAGTGGCTCCGCCAGAGACTGGGATGGCGAGTATACGAAAACCCTAAACTTCTTAGTAGTAGAGTAGGTAACCTTTAACCTTTTTGGGTTAATATATTCCCCCTATAATCCCAAAGGTTAACCTTTAAAACCCCTAGGTACTGGACAGCTAAGACTTAGCAGCTGAGTGAGTACACTTTGCACTTTTCGGGATACCATGATCTCTACAAAATTGAAAGTGCACACTTTTGGGGGGCTTATGAACTCAGCAACAAAGTAAAGTAATGGGGCTCTTAAGGACTGCTCCCCAAGACTCCCTAGGAACCTACCCCCCCTAAACCCTCGCTGCTGCCACGGCCGCCAGTACCTGTGAAAGCACGACGCGCGGTGCAAAACATCGATGCAAACCTTTCTGCTGCGAAGAGCGATTGCACCAGCGGCGGCTGTAAAGGCGCGACCGCCGTCTTTCTCGGCCAGGCAAGGAGCGACACAACGTTCAGCGATGTAGTGAAACTGCAGCCAGAATGCGCCCCTGTGGAGATCATTTTGGAAGCCTATAACTCCCTGAGGGTCCATGTACCCATATAGTATATACTTGGGCCCTAAAGCTACCATATGGGAACCCCTTTAAGGCCCAAGTATATACTATACAGGTACATGGACCCTTTGGGACTAAAGCCCTAAAACCCTCAACCCTGTTCCCTTTTTGGTGGGCCGGGCTCCCTCCCAAACCCGGAAACCTCTAGAAGCCTAACCCCGCCACCTAACCCCGTAAAGAAATTCAACCCCTGAACGCCTAAACCCCTGGACCCTAAAACCGAAATGCCCTAAACCAAGTACTCTAAAGCCCAAACCGCAAACCCTTTACCCTAAACGCCCTAAACCAATGACCCTAAACCCCAGACGCAAAACCTATCAACCCGAACCCCCCAAACCCTAAACCCCAAACACAAAACCCCCATGAAACCAAAACCCCCATGAAACCAAAACCCCAAGCCCGAAACCCTATAGACCCAAGCCTCTAAACCCCAAACCCCACACCCCACACCCCACAAGCCCTAACCCCCAAACCCTACCATTAAACCCCAAACCCTAACCCCAAACCTAATCCCTAAACCCTAAACCCTAAACCCTACTCCCGTTTTTGCTCCGGGGCTTCGAGCGAGGAGATGGTGGAGGATCCCGAAGAGCCTGCGATGGGCCGCCGCAGTAGCTTGGACATAGGTCAAAAGGGTTTAGGGTGAAGGGTTTCGGGTTTAGCATTAGGATTTAGGGTTTAGGATTTAGGGTTTAGGGCTTTGGGTTTTGGGGATTGGAGGGTTTAGGATTTCAGGCATTGGCTGTTTAGGGTTTGGGATTCTTGGGCTTAGCATTTTAGTGCCTAATTATAGGGGGTTCTTCGAGTTTACGGGGTTATAGGCTTTCTAGGACTTACAGGGTTGAGGGCTCGAGGGCTTATAGGATTTAGGGTTATAGGGTTTAGGGGTTCGGGGTTATGGTGGGATGATAGGGGTTTGAGGTTATAGGGTTTCCAGGTTTCTAGGGTGCAGAGGTTTTATGCGGTTTCAAGGGGCCTTTAGAGGGTCACAGGGTTGATAGGATTTGGGGTGAAGGTTTGAGAGGGTTGGGCGTACAGGGTTTGCAGGGTCATAGGGTATAGGTTTGAGGGCTTATGGGGCCCATTATGGGGTTTAAGCTTTTGGACTTGGGGCCGAGGGGCGTTTGAGGGGTTTTGGGTTCAGAACGTTGGGCTGCACAGAAGAAAGGTCAAGAAAGAGAGATAGAAGGAGAGACAGAGAGCGAGAGAGCACGCGAGAGGGGTTAAGGGTTTATAGGGTTTAGGGTTTAGGGGCGGAGAAAGACAGAGGAAGGCAGAGAAAGGCATTGCTAGAGAGGCCTCACCACCCAAGGCAGCGTGGCCACGCGATGCGTTCAATCCCTCGTGGGCCGCAACGGCGTGAGAGACTAGGCAGGCCCTTGGGACATTTTTTGTTTTCCCGTGTACGGACTTAGAGACTAGGTAGCCATGTTGGTTATATAGAATCCTACTGTACATATATATATATATATATATAAGGTTAGCCTTTTTTGGGCTGGTGTATTCAGCCCCTAAGTGGTTTGAGAGGATCATATGCAGGAACATTTATTTCAGAGGGTTTTAATGGCCATCATGTATTTTTCAGAGCGGTTTAGGGTTTAGGGTTTAGGGTTTATAAACCCTATAGGGTTTAGGGCCATCCGAGGATAC